AAACCCGAACAATGAACTTGGCAAAAATGAAAGTTGTGGCGTTCTGTACATTTGGACTCTTTCGCGTGCCTTCCTACCAGTAACTTGGCCCAGGAACTAGTTATAAATTTACAGCCGAACTTGTGTAGAAAAAGGGGCCTACCGTTTTACTATGAAACACTGTATAACATTGGGCACTCGCTCGGGTCTTGATGATTAATAGTGCTGTCTGGAGAGTCACGAAGGGTACTCGAGAAACAATGAAATTAGACAGGTACCAGTAACAGTGAATCGGAGAAGAAAAACTGATGCAGTATGGAGTAGATAAGGAAGCGTATGCCGCTCGTTTTTTGTCATTTGAGGCTCAAGTAGTATATGACGGGCAAGTTCAAACACGAGTGGAAAATTAACGGGGAGTTATTTTATGAGGTGGGTTATATGCGGGCAGTTGGCATTGAGAGTGGAGTTGTGTTTTAGCCTTGTCGGTGTTGCTGAGAACGGCAAAAATAGCGTTTCGCAAGGTCGAGATATTTGCATATATGCTCTACCCGAAGTTTGTTCGAAATGCTGGCCTATTTCTTTTCTGCAACTTGAGTGCAACGTTTGTCTCACTTTTCCCAGAATGTTCAGTTAGGGAATCGATGTCGTTTTCCCTTTTGTTTTGTTTTTGTTCTTTCTGTCTTATTATACTAGTGTCATGTTTGTTCTGACTAATCGTCTTCGTGTGTTGTTTACATTGTATTTAACTTGTCGATTACATTGTATCTAACTGGTCGAGCTTTTACACTGCAAAAATTGTGGTGTTAAATATAACACCGCGGTGGTATCTATATATGACCACCAATGTTAACTTTTACAACAGCGGTGTTAAATATAATTTCACCAGCGGTGTTACATTTACACTACAGTGTTGTTGTTTTCGCTAATTCTTTTCTTTGCTCACAACTATGCATAATATTGTGTGTATTAAATCAGTTGTTTAATACATGTTATGCCATTTTAGCCCCTTTCATATTGAAATGGCATAACATTGTGTTGTTCTGGTCTCTACACAAAATTAATCAAGTTTTATATCCTTCTCAACTGATTGTGAGAAAGATTGCGTCTTTGTTGCGTAAAACCCTTAATTTCAGGCATAAATCACGGACTTTTATTTTTATGTTTTCTTTCTTTTGTTTCTTTTGTTTATTTATTTGCTGATAAGTCCGGGAATTAAATTTTCATAAAATGTTCTGTGTTTTCTGTTCAATCTAATAATGGATTTATTTAGGCTGATTGTTTTCTTCTTCTTTCTTTTGAAGTTTATTTTTTTCGCAACGTAGGTTCACGGGGCTCAAGTTTACAAACATTTTACCAAGTAGGCCTATAGATGTTGTGCGTTCTACGGAGAAACTATGCTGACTTATTAATTGCCAGTCTTGATCACTCCCATGAAAACACACTAGCTTGATATTGAATGCCGACAAGAGACGCAGCGGTGACTTCAGCAGAAAACGGCAGGCCACGCTACGAGGCAGTACCGTGGATGAAGCAGATCAGTAACGGGGAGGAAGGAGCGCAGGCCCCGTTGCGCTCTACCCGGAGGCACGGTCGCGTATTAAACTTCCTCCGGACTTCAAACTATTTCCATACTTCTCCGTATTTCGGCCCCGATTTCTTGCAAGCCAGATCAGAACTTGGACCTGTCTTGTGGATGATTCTCGAAGCTTCACTTTCAAATTTTTCTCCGTAACGTCTTTCCTTTTACCAATCCTTGAAAAAAACTTTGTTCATTGTTATATTTCACTGTCTCTGCACATTATTTTCAGTGCTCCAGACTTCAGTTGTCCCCTCTTTGATACAATTATATTGATATAATATTTAGATGTGAATTTTTTGATTCATACTTTCTATTGTTCATTGCAGATAAAAAAACAAGTGTTAGGGTCATTCTGTTCTAGTTTTTATTGATATCGGAGAATTGCTTCAGCATTCTGATGCAACTTGGTGTGAGTTTACTGAGTACATGTTTAGCGCAAATGTTGACTTCTAGTTTCATTTTTAAGCTTAGGTTTTAACCAATTTAGGTGACGTATACATTGGCCGGCCAGTGGATGAGGAATGAACCTTAATGATTTTCATAAAGTAATGAAAATCCATTTAGATTTCTCTTTAATAGGCCTACAGTTAGGCTACGTGTTCCCCGGGATGTGGTTTGCAACCAGGCAATTTGTTTCTAATTTAGGCGAAGTTCTTCACATAGGCCTACACACAATTTTCGTTAACTCAATGGACCGGTTGCTTTGCTTGTGCCGTATGGTCGACAGTTATGATCCGGCCCGCCCGTGAAGATGACACCCGATGACAGCCTAAGAGGTGACAACTTATTGCGACAAAGTGCCACACTGTGACACCGATGTCAATCACTGAATACAGCGACAAGGACGGAAAGCGAAATAAGTCTCAAAGATTTGCAGCCATAACACCGCAGCTGAGGGGGGACACATAACAATCGATGACCGTACCAGTAGGCCTATTGACAAGGACAAAATGTCACATCATCAAGTACGGAATTCAAATCAAATTTCAACGATTGTCAACTTCAATGTCAGCTGAGGGCGACAATCAGTGACACCGATGACTCGACAACGACAAAATGTCACATCGTCAATGATTTTAAGCTAAAGCAGAAAAAACGCCGAGTGCATGAAACAACTGCGACAGCCTGACGTTTCAACTTCGACCTTGGAAGTCAGAGCTTTTTACTTCATGGCGTCCCACGATTCCAAAATATGTTAAAACCCCAAACCGCTAACAATGGTATTGCCCCTTCTAATCACTCCAAGGTACACTGCACCGCCCCTCTGGAACTTTTATGACCCCCCTAATAACCCTTGATCAAACAACTAAAAGCCTCAACACTGCAACACAAAACGAGTAGACCGACTGTCCTGTCCGTCCGTGTAGTCACGCTACGAAAATCAGCGGAGCTTCGCCCGGTTTAGCCTCGGTATACAAACGCGACTTTCCCCGTTGGCCCTCGCCTTATCTAGCGAGGAATTAGACCGTATTAGGGTAACATAGATCGTTAATGATCTACGATCATTCAAACAATGCAATAATAATCCTGCTCGGTGTAGAGCCCAAAGTCCAGGGGGGCAAACTTTGGGTTGAGTTGAAGATCTGCAAATTGGTTCGGACTGTTTTCTTCACGCAATGCAAAAAAAAAAGTAAATTTACGGATGCGACTCGCGTGTACTGAGCTATACGACTGCACATTTTTTGTATCAACACTCCAAAAGAAATAAGCTAACATTCGGGGTAAATTCAAATACAAATCAGCCCACATAACACATTTCTAGGCAGTGTTATAATGGAAAGCTATAATTACTATATAACCTAGCCTAACACGAACGGCTTTTGTTTTATGTATAAACGCACTCTCCATTCAGTTCTGAAACACTATAGAGGAACAAGTCAGTGATATTCTGCTAGTGTTTTTTTTTTCAGAAGAAGATTCTTCGAGTGACATTTTCAGCGTTTTAAGGCGTGCTTGTATTTTGAAACAAAAATCAGCCCTGTAAAACTCACAGTTTACAACTTGTTAAGTTACAACATCAACCTCGAAGGCATATCGGATCGTTTGCATTTATCCCAAAAGTAACCTACCGAAATTATCCAAAAGATTACATTAAAAAATCGCACCGGAATTAACACCCGATGAAATTCTCCGTCTGGCTTGCTGTCATTGAGAAGAAATCAAGAAATGTAAGTGATTTCCAACGATCAGTCAAATGACTGATTTTGGGGAAATAAACTTCTATTGACAAAATCGTGTTTCGTGATCAAAAGGTTGTTCATGTTTTTTTTCACTGTTTTTTCGAAAAGTGTTATATCCACTGAGCTGAAACTTCAACAGGTTAAATTTTGAACAATCTGCTTTGGACTTCGAATGATGTCATAGTATTGGAAACTAACCTAATGCATGAAACGCAAATGATCCTAAATGCCTTTAAGAGTTCATGTACTTAGGCCTACAAGTTTCCTGCTCGCTAATTTATAACTTTTGGAGAATGCGCAACAAAACAATACATGTCTCTGAAGCTGTTGATTCCTTCCCGGTAAAATCTAGGCTTCGGGAATTCAGTAGATGTGTTCATTCTTTGTCGTCAATCCAACTTTTCGTCAGTTTTGAAATATTCAGAAGAATGGGTTTTTTGGAGAAATTGGTGATGCTGGGTCTTTCTTTCCGGAACTTTGTCAACATTTGCTGCAAGTCCGGCCGTGGACAGAAGGAACGTGTATTGTATACCTGGGCTAGAACGGTTTTTCACGGAGTTTTATGCACCTCAAAGCCCGTCGCTGTCCGCGGGTCCATGGAACTGGTTTGGCAGTTTGACCCGTTCTAGCGTTCGCATTTTCACTTCATCTTCTTGACCAGGTTTCTTGTCAACCGATTGCAGAAGTGTCGTCCTGGTTTTCGATTCGACCTGACACCACCACGGATGAAAATATTTGCACGATGTCATGTTGTGTTGTTGGTGTTGTTGTTTTAACCGGCATTCGGTATGAAATATAAACCTTGGTTGCTTTAATTCCAAGAAAATTTTACTTCAGATCTGCCAAACAGATGAGGCAGTCGATGTTTTTACCAACGTTAATCCAAGGGTTTAGCAACAATTGCCAAGTTTTTGTTGTTGTTTTTGTTTTTTTGTTTTTTGTTTTTTTTAATATGATAACTGACCGATTTTTTTTCTCAAATTGATGTAGGGGGCCTAGTCGTTACCTGTCAATTAACCTATAAATTGACGATCATTATATTCACATTACATTCCTTACGATAAGCCAAAAGTTTCGTCGTGGTATGGAAGAGCATTCAACAAAACATGAATATTTAATCATCTATTTTGCCCACGTGACCATAATAAGTACACCGCCCATGCGTGATCCGCGCGCAACGGACGAATAGCGTGGCGAGTTGGGAACACTCGTACCCAAAGTTCTAGAGCCACTCCCTCACTGTACGAGCCGTCCGTGGCTGGTAACCGTCGCCGTCTTTGTGTTTGCTGAATCGGATGTTCGGGTACCAGTGTTAAGTAAAAATCTCGCGGGTACGTGTTGCGGTGGGCGTTTGGTCAACTGTTGTGAGCCCAACGGCCGGTGACTTGTGCATATAAACTCCATGTCATGCCGGCGGTAGCACGGGATCTGTGCACACACTTGTTGTAGACAGCAACTTTTCGAGGTCTCTCCACTTGCATGTCATTGCCTCCGATCCGAGCGAGCCTGAGATTTTTACTCACCGATCCGTCGGCTCGACAAGCTTGGTTCCCCTCTCGGTACAGCGCAGTGAACGTTGTCGTCCTGTCCGGTAAATGACTAGACCGTCTTTCTGAAAACTCCCAACCGTCTTTCCCGAAGCCATTTCGACGGTCCAGCCAGCTCGATCGCCGGTTATCAACCCATCAGTCATCCAGCCAATTTGTAAGTACCACTATTTTTCAAGATTACGGCCCTATCGGGGGAATCTTTATGGGCCATTGGGACTAGACAAGGGGGGAGATAGATGCGATAGTTGGCGGCCGAGGCAATTGGTGCGTTCACGGCACGGGCAGGCTGTCACATAGCACGGGTTGGTGTGTAGAGAGCCGGCGGTGGTGTAGCACGCGTGGTCGGTGAATGAAAAGTACAAGCTCGGTTACTTCCGCGTGCGGTAAAAGGCTTATCGCTTAAACTCCACGGTAAGTTTATCATGTTGAAGAGGAGATATGCAAGTGGATGTTTAGAAATGGAAAGATATCGGGGCTTTTGTCCTCAAAATAGTGCTTAGATAGGTTGATTTTCCCCCATGTAAGTAGGTTTATAGTGCTTTAAAGCTGTTTGATATGCGAAGCATTTGAAAAAGAGTTTGAAAGTTGGCCACTTTTTTGGTCAAGTGGCGTGCTTGTGCTGTCCTATTTGAAACATTTTCCAAACAAGGTTCAGTCATGATCGGCTTTTGGGTTTTTGAAATGTTTTCTCTCCACCCTGTGAAGTACTTTATTGACATTTTGTTATGTAGCTGCAAACTTTGGGTTGATAAGCGTAATTTTTTTTATCGGTTCGTTGCAAAAACAAAACCGGACATAAGTATTGGGGATGGATTTTGTTATTTTTTTTATCTCGAAAGGTTGTTGGGTATTTGGCGATAATCATTCTGTATTGGTTGTCAAGTGTTTGGACCGCAGTGATTTTTAGCGGAGGGAACCGGCATGACTTGCAGTATAAATAAAATATCCATCTAAAATTGAACTTAGCCATAAATCGCATTCATGTGGAGGAGAATGGAGGCTCGAATGCTGAAGTTTTATCATCCGTACTGACCGAAACATTGAGTTTGACTTCCCTAGTTCTTTTGGGAAAACTTCGGCCTTTGTAGCATGTGTTTTAGTTGAGTCCAGCACAGGTCTGTTCACGAGTTAACCACAAGTCATTGTCAAGTAACACTGTGATGCTCAATCACAAATGAATGTTTTTTTTGTCAGACAGTTCCTTTGAAAAGCTTGTGACTACTCCTTGTGGCGATGTGTATCAAAAACTCCTCTGCCTATTTGAACATGGTTGCACTCTCTACTAGTACTACATGCAAAGTCTGAAATCTCGAATCTCATCCGTTCATGTGATTTCTTTTTCTACATCTTCAACAATCGGTGTTTTTTTTTTCTCTCGATGTGACAAAAACGTTCAGCAAAACCATCTTGAGTTCTTGTTTTCCCCCTGAAACATGTTGCCTTTTGATTGAGAAACGTCCATGGAAATTTGAACTCCACCTAACTTCAATTTGAGTTCAGTTTGCCCTTCAACTTTGTTATTGAATTTCGATTGAGATACATCTGTGGGAATTTGAAAATTGGCTACACGTTACACCGTCTATCTGCTATACCCTACCAATTAGGCCGACTATTACTGTACTTCTCCCCTCCCCGTATGTTGTGAACGGAGCTTACGTGCTCCGGGCTTTTTTCCCCCATTTTTCACGGCCCACCGCGCTCAAGCAGATAAGTCCGCCCGTAAACACCCGTTGTTCCACGGTAGCAGTTAACGAGATTTCACGCTTCGTTTCGCGCGCGCCACGGGTGGCAGAACCAACTGGCATAAGTCATCGGCAAAACAAATGGCCGAGTTTCACCTGTCAAAACGTTCAAGAATTACGCAAAAAAATCCGTTATGAAATAAGTAGAGTTTTTTCTAATAAACAGAAAAAAGTTAATGCAATTTTCCCCATGCATATTTGCACAATTTGACTTAAAATGAACGGAGTTTGTATTTTTTATGATTCAGTTTAATGTCATCTTTTCAAATTGATCGATTCGATTCATTGGGGTTTTCAATAAATATATTGATTTTTTTTTATCATCTACCTTTTTATACATATTTTTTTTCTTCACGAGAAAGAAACTCACTTGAACTTGAACATGTTTCCTTCATTTAATTAAGCATTTCGTCGTAAAAGTCAAAAAGCCCAATGTTTCGATTCTAATAACAGAACATGTCTCCTCTTTTCACTCTGCACAGAAAAGCAGCCCAAAATTACTGGCTTCTCAAGTTCATGCCATTTATTTAATTTGTCAGTTCCTTTGCAATTGAAACACACGCCAATCGTTATAACTTCTGACTAGTTTTTGGAGAGATACAAATAAGGTTCACACAGTTAGCCTAGTTTATAAAGTACATTTAGAACTATAGAACAGATTTTTAACTATACATAAATTATAGCTCACGCCAAAAGCATCTTCAAGGTGTCCTTTATTCATATCTAGCTGGAGTAAAATTTGGCACAATTAAGAATTTCAGTCTGTAAGTGTGTTCATTGTCTCAGTGTTAAACGTTGCATTTTAATTGAGTGGCACTACCTTCTTGCAGCAAAGCGAAAGACTTACAAAAGCACCAACGTGCCCTGGCTTACTTACACCAGAAGCCTCTTCAAATTGTCCTTACTCCTTTATTCAAAGCTAGCTAGTTTTAAGAGTCAAATTTAGCACAATTAAACATTTCAGTCTGTAAGTGTGTTAATTGTCTCGTGGTTAAACGTTGCATTTTAATTGATTGGCACTTCCTTCGGGCAGCAAAGCGAGTGTCCGTGCCACAGGCGCTAACAACCCCAAAAGTGTTAACTTGTAACGGCTGGTGTCGTCTCGGGCGAATAAGCGTGTGCCAGAACCTGTCACTTGGTAATCACATTTCGGAGAGCTGGCGGAAGTAGATTGAACCATGAACCGGTTCCCCTTCCCCAGCCCCCCCCCCCAAACAAAAGGAGCTAGTATTACTAACATCTGTTAATTGATTTTATCTTCCTCAACACAATTTCCACCAAATAATGGCTTGGATGAAGCGATATGCTCCAATGCTTACGAATCCGACTCGTGTGTAGAGGCGTACGGCTCCGAATCTAGATTGATGGACCGTGGTTGGTGTTCTTGGGCAGGGGACTTTACTCCAATGTCCTTTTTCCACTCATAAGTATAAAATAGGGACCAGTGAAAATATATCAAGAGCAGGAACTGATCTCATGACATGATGAACAGGGGTAATAATCGTAAGCGTGTTTAGACATTTATAATATGAAACACTACCTTGCCACTCACCGAGTAATTTATACTGATGTAAAAATTAAAAAAAAATCCCTGAGTACATGCATTAAATTTGTTACAACATTCCTATGATAACAAGTTCCATCTTTTACATCATATTTAATCGCTGTAATGATACAATACGTTTCCATTTTTCGGATTGCATAATTAATGGGTAATTATTTGGTCAATCACCTAAAGTAATCGCACATTTTAAGAGTAGACCACAATAATTGCAGTCCAGCAATACACAAAATACAACCTGATTTTAAACCTAATTGACTTAAATTTTGAAAATTCTCTTTAAACCCTCAGGATTTACTGCGGTCCATTTCCGCCTCGTCACGAGTGCGACTCGCTCACATTGCGGTTTCCAGTTCACATTTTCTTATCACCAACCCGTAAATTTTGTTACAGCCAAAAAGCTCTTTCCCAATTTTTTATCGCGCTACAACCAATACAATAAAAAGCTACAACGCCCCTCCCCCTGCGGTATAAACAGCCTGCGTTAAAATACAACCCCTCGATGTACCCATTTTATGTGGACTCAGCGCTCGCTACTTGACTTTTGGACTCTTCCATGTAGCGGTGACCAAAATTTGTCTTTACACCGCGGCCGGGCACAGCCGGCCCCCGAGGTTTGCACACCGGTGCCGCTGAGGCTGGCCCGTCGAATGCCGACACTGGGCGGTTGGGGTGGTAACGCCGGCATGGTCAACCCTGTTGATCCTCGGAGTTTTAATCACTCACCGAACTTTTTTTTTCTTCCCAATCCTGTACCCTTAAAACTTTTTGTTTTCCATTCAGTCCTTCTTTTTTCGTAGGCATTATAGGTTTCCCAAACAATGATCTTTTCATTTCAGTAGCCAAGGAAAGAATTTCCCGAAATTCAGGGCAATAGGTTGGACTTTTGTCGGATGTTACCGAAAATTGATTCGGATATAATGATCCCACGCTAACCCAATCTGAAGGGCACGCACTTGTGGGTCTATACCTGGGCGATAAAAAGCGTTCAGATCCAATGATATCCACCCAGATATAGTTGGCAGTGCATGTGTACTTTTATTTAACCCAGTTTCAACCGAAATTGAGGCCTTTTTGGCAAAAAGAGCACAGTGGTTAATTTCTTCAGCTAAAAATGAACGGAAGATGTCCCGCTGGTAAAATCTGAATTGAACCGAAGTGCTGGCTTGTTAAATTGACCCGACGGCGACTTCATGGAGGTGCTTAGCAGAAAATATTACTTAGCATATTTACGTGCTAAGGAATATCAGCTGTATGACAAAATGTCTGTGCTCAGCACTCTATTAAATTTGCAACAGGTAACAGTCGTAGTTCTCTCAGAGTCGAAATTGTTTGTCTTTTCTATTGTATGCAAAGCTATAAAGACCAAACACCAAATTGGGATGTTGCGCAATGGCTTTTGCCCATATTGCACAATTCGCACCGATTCGCAATCGGCGGCTGTCTAGTGTTTCAAAACTCTTGTCTTAAAACACGTGTAATGTGTCCGATTTTTGAATCACAAGACTTAGGCAAGTTTAACAATGCTGGTCCCCGAGTGCACGAATTGATATTTAGTTGATTCAAAATGGCATGTAACAGGCAGTCTTTCTTGCATCAGGTCTAAAGGCATTGCGGATGTAGTCCATTCATTTGCGTTATGCCTGGCGTTATCCTATCCAATAGCACTGCCCGACTCATAAAAGAGAACAACAGGATGGCCCTCTGGTGCCATCAAGCAGACGTCACCAAATTTGAGCGAAATTTCAAACTCATAGTACGAAGCTCTTTCTGATTTTGAAGAAAAACAAAGATCTGTCATTGAAACTCTGCCATAAACGGCTTGTACCGTGTGGTTAACAAAACACTTTC